CTTACACACTTGCATGCTGAGAAATCAAAAGATTATGCAGATTTTACAGTCCTTTCCAGGAATCATTCCCTGGATTACTGTGGTAAGTGCATGTTAGCACTGGGGTTTGGTTGTTTTAAGGAAAGGTCAGTTATACTGTACGACAGTTTTCCCAGTTCAGGTTCACATATAAGAAAGTAGCATAAACCCAAATCTTTGTGGCAATCAGATACAAACCAAGGCAATTAAGCTGTAGTTTTCATGCTGGTGGTTTTGTTTCCCAGGAAAGCATCACTGAGACCAAGCATCCACGTACAGCTCAAAACCAGCTTTCCCAGCTCTGTTTAAACAACAGAGTTTGGGTGTGAGTCAAAGCTCCATATGTACAGTGCTTCAGAGACTCCTGGAATCATGGAATGGTTTAGGTTGGAAGGGACCTTAAAGCTCATCTTTTTCCCCTGCCATGGGCAGAGATGCCACTCATTAGGTCAGGTTGCTTCTGTATTTGATCTGACAGTCGCTCAGATACACGGGAACATGTTTAATATTCGATCACCTGCAAGTGCTGATGGGAAAGGAGTTCAAGATGCCACTTCAAGTACCAGTCTCACATCCTACTACAAGAAAAGGACATTCAAGTTACCTCCTGCTTAAGTGATACCAAAATTTTGTGGTAGGCATACAGAACTTCTGAAAAAACACAAAATGAAGTCTAACACATACCAAAATCCCTATGGATGATGATGGCTGGAGCATCCACACTCTGTCCTGAAGCATTTCCAGCACTAGGAAAGTCTTATTTCCAGCAGAAACACCTTTAACCTAAACCAGCAGACACTTTGGCCTCTGAAACCTTGAAACCAAACTCTGCAGAGCTGAACTTCTCTACCCAATCCATAGTTCTTGGGTACAGAGCTGTCACCAGTATCCCCAGTTAAAGACCAATGCACTTCCTCTTGAAGATTATCTGTCCAATACACACCTCCAGGTCCAAACTGCACAAGAAGGGGAGGCACAATGGGAGCAAGATATTCTTGTGGGGAAGGGAAATGGCACAGCTCTGCTTTGATTTATCTGGTCTCTGCAGACATGGACAAGAAAACAACAGACTCAAAAATCCAGGTCCCGGATCATTCGATCCCAGCAGAGGAGTCCCTGTGCAGTCTTGTCCCATGCAGAGTGCTCCTGGAAGGACAGTGCTACACAAACTCCCAAAATGGGGATGTCTCAGAGACAAGACCTGCTGGGACCTCCTCACAATGCCCACGAGGACCACTCACCCCAAGTCCACCAGTAAAACATTCGGACACTCTTTTTCCCCAGCTGAAAAACTCAGGTAGGAGTTGGTTTCCCATGGAAATATGAAATAGAGCCAGTCTAGCAAAACTAACAAGGACTGATCACAGAAGACCTAGAGATCCATGGCAGGATCCCCACGCTGGCATATCCACCAGACAGACTTAACCCAAACAGTGCTAATTGCCCCAGGAATGCTAATTCTCCTAAGACAGCCTGATCCCACCCCCCCACTCCCAACAGCACATTTATGGAAAACCATGGAAAAGGCTTCATAGTGTACCACAAAAATCAGGACCCATCGTTGCACGAATGGAACTGCCAGGCTTGCAATGGGATTTTAGCAAGGAAATGGAAATCGTGCTGACACACAATTGTTCCGCCCCCCCGTTCGCCTTCACACATTTCTCACAGGTCAATTTTAAAGAATTAAGTCTTGTTCAGTGAAACATCTGGTGGCTGTTGCTACAGGAAACCGACTATCTGCAACATTTGAGCAAAAATAATGAGTTACATAAAAGCCAGACTGCTTAAGCAAGGACAAGTGTTTTGCCAGTCTGTGAATTTCAAACCTTACATGAAACATTGTGTTTCATTTTTGGGTCAGAATACAATGAAGTGAACCCATACACACAACTGAAGGCATAAAGATTCAAGTTTTCTCTAAGTTCATGAGTACATAATCATGCTGTATTGGAATTAACCTTCTAGCCAGCAACTGTCCTAAAGATTTTCTGTAAACAGCAGAGACAGATGAATTACAGCTTAAAAATGGACCAGTTCAGCTCTAGGCACTTTCAGATTTAGTTCAAGCCAGGACAAGTTAAAGAGTTAGAGAAGAGGGTTTTGGTCTTTAACTCTTTGAGTCAGGAGTTCTCCCATACCTCATGGAAGAGTATTTTCCATTAATGCCCTTTTCCTCAGGGTTTCTCAGCATCTGGAGACCAACACCCACCAGTTGATTCTACACTGGGCTGAACAGGAGGAGTGATTTTGTGGGAGAAGCTGAGCAGGAGCTCTAACACATCACCATCTGCGTCCCCATGACCGCCCAGAAGAAGCCTTTAAGATCTTTGATGGGGGCTTTCCATCTCTTGGAGTCCCAGCACAGGAGGGGTAGCACTCCCGAGAACATCTCCAGCAGGCAGCTCTAATATACTGGAATTGCACTTCACATGGTGTACCTTTCTACAAATAGATATTGCTGTTCTTTAGGAGAGCTTCAGCACTTCAATAATCCAGAAGCCTGATGGATGACTAATACAACCAGAAAGCTCCGTGCACAGAAGGATATTTCAGCTTCCACACATCACCAGAGCTGCTCTTGGGATGCAGCCGGAGAACAGCAGAGGCACCTCCGGCTTTCACTGCTTTCCCTGGTTCTCACACGGGCTCCAAGGCTGCAGCTGCTGCTCCCCTTGCTCATTTTTGCCATCCAGGGAAAAAAATTTGCTCCTAAAGTCAGATTCCTCGAGCTGGACGTGGCTCATCGAGCACACTGAGGACACCACGAGCCAGCTCCTCACTCGTGGGGATAACACACAACTGCAGGAGGGGAAGCACCTGGCACTGGCTCCACTGGAGCTGGGAAGGAGTCAGGCCAATGCACCTTGAGGATCCCAAGGCAGGGAACATGCAGGTGAAGACACAAACAGACAAGTAATGGCAGGAGTCAGGGTGCTGCTCCCAAGTGCAAGTCATGGAACGGGAAAACCATTTCATATTCTCTAAATATGAAATTAAAATATACAAAAAGATAAAAGGAGACAGAAACAGGATAGAAGCTTCACCCAAGTGAAAAAGCACGCTGTGATCCCAGACCTCATGGAAATAGGTTTATCTGATTCCAAAAAATTTCCCAAGATCCCAGACATTTTACAGGCAGGATATAGAAAAACAAGGCAATGACTTCAGTCAAAAAAGAAATCCTTCACAACATTACAGCAGCAAAGCTTTACACAGCAGGGGCTTATCTTTGAGAAAAAAACAATGTGACACAAGGCACAGGCAGAAGACACAGTCTCTGCTGGACTCAGAGAAGATACTAAAGCACTGTACTGCACCAGCCTGAATTGCTCAAACGAAACACTTTTCAACAATTAATGACACTCCTACTACTGCCACCAAAAATAGACAAATTGGTTTTAGGGGATGAAGCTGCAAAAATAATTTGAGATACAATATCAAGCAAAATTGAAACCAGATTTCTCCTCCAGGCTGGAAGTTACTGAGAGCATGAAGCTGTTGTCCATCCATCTGCCCCCTCTCAGCTGAAATTACCGAAAGGCAAGTGCTCATGAAGCTTTCTACAGAGAAAATTCTAACTGGAGATTACAATTTAGAAAGAATTTGTTTTGTCACATCATTTTGGCCAAAAATAGGAACAGCATTCCCAAAGATTGGTGCACAATTATGGCCCTAAACAAAACTCTCCAAGGACTTAATCAGGATCACTTAGACTGCACAGAAGAACAGTTCATCACTATATAAATGCTTTTTCAGAAGTCCAGAAAGGGAAACCTAGTGCCAGTTTCAGACTTTATGTACACCCAAAAACTTCTTGTGCCAAGAAGGGACTTGCATTCTCAAAGTCACCCTTCTCACTAAACCACAACACTTGCTGGTTTATTTTCAGGAAATCAAGGGATGTCTCCGTGCTGGAGTCAGTCCAACACTCTCACCTACAAACGTTATTCCTTTTGACTTCTGCAGAGGAAAATTTTCCCAACAACTTCAGTTTTCAGTTTTCTACTTGTTCCATAGGTCAGTTGTTATTGACTAGGCAACCCAGCCCCTATTTTACTTGTCACACTGGAATAAACACTAACAGAGCACATCAAGTCTCCTCTCAATAACAAACCTAAAGCAGTTTTAGAGAAGCTTCAGTTCACAAAAGTCTCCGGACTCTCCCTCACTTTAATCCTGCCCAGTTTCCTTGTTGGAGCTATTTGTCACTGACAGGCAGCATTGCAGTCACCTACTTCTCAGCTCAACATGTGTGTTTCTAAAAATAAAGCCAGAGAAAGGAAAGCAGGGATGCAAGTTCCCAGAGAAGTTACTTCAGATGAAAAATGCTGAGAAAATTGAGAGGAAAAAGATATTGAAACGGATATAAGGAGTAAGAATTGAACAAGTTGCATTCAGGTCTCTAACCATCCTTCCACAGGCTTGGCGGGTATTTCACACCCAGTGAGAAGTTACTGGATTTTTAGTGTCTTCCCTTATATACAGAATGATTTGGGTTGGAAGAGACCTTAAGGTTCATCTCATTCCACTCCCCTGCCATGGGCAGGGACATCATCCACTAGATCAGGTTGCTCCAATCCCCTTCCAACCTGGCCTTGAACACTTCCAGGGATGGGGCAGCCACAGCCACTCTTGGAAACCTGTGCCAGGTCCTCCCCACCCTCACAGGGAAGGATTTCTTCCACACATCTCACCTAAATTTCCCCTCTGTCAGTTTGTATCCATTCCCCCTTGTCCTGTCACTACAGTTCCAGATGAACAGTCCCTCTCCAGCTTCTCTGTAGCCCCTTCAGATCCTGAAAGGTGCTCTGAGTTCTCCACAAAACCTTCTCTCCAGGCTCAAAAGTCCCAGCTCTTCCAGCCTGTCTCCACAGGGGAGGTGCCTCTTATCAAATATGGTTGGGTTAGGGTTTTTTAAGAAGAAATATTTGAGTTCCATGCTCAGACACTCCAGAACACCAAAGGCACGCAACACTCACCGCACGATTCGTAACTTCTTAGGCCTGTTACCCAAAATCACAGGGCAGCAAGTGCTGGGGCACTGGAGCAGTGGAGCAGCCAGGCAGGCATATCTGTACTGACCCTGGGGAGGAAGAAAAGGCATTTTAGAAAGTCTCCATGCAACAGTTCACACCAGCAACTTCAAATCTCGCTGTATTCTGCTTAAAAAACAAAAAAGGCATTGTTTGTTTTCAGTTGCATGTGGCAGCTCCCAAGTACCAGGGATGAAATGGAGCCAAACACCCCCACTTAGAGGAAAATCATTCTCCTCACCCAATGTCAGGGCAAACTCAGAGTTTTCCATGCAATAAATAACAGGAATTTTAGTTCAGAAGACAGTGTTTTCTTAAAATACAGATGTTTCTTGCTCTTCAGTAATTTGGGGTTTGCTTTTTGGTAAACTGTGTTTCCCCACCTTGGGAAACAGGTTCCCAAACCTGACCTTCTGTGACGCAGCACCCCTGGGCTGGCTCCATCTCCTGAGATGCTCCAGGCACTTTGGTCAGAAGGAAGCACAAGGGTTTGTCTGAGACTTTTTCTCCTTAGAAATACCCTCCTGAGCACAGGGCCCAAACACCAATTTTTGAGGGGGAGTGTGCTGTAACAGGGGTATGGAAACGACTCCTGGAAAACCCTTCCCGGAGTGACCAAAGTCACGCTGTTCTGTTCCCCACTCAAAACTTGGGCACATTAATGTCCTTCTGAAGAAAACACTTGGGTAGTTCTAATAAAAATAAGAATTTTAAAAAGCAGCTTTAAGTTCTGAGTAGCTCTGACTGTCAACTATAAAACAGGCTCTGCTAAAACACCACGGGAGACTCCTTGACATGTGGTACTGACACAGGCTACAAGCAACCAAGCTCCCCAGTGCCCAGTGGGCATGCCAAGTCCATGCCTCAGTTGGCACTTCTATCCTTATGTTCCCAACTATTACAGCAAGGATAGAAGTTTAAGGGCCCCTATTAACATCTTAAACCTCTTTCTTGTTAAGCACATGGGGATACTGGAAAGCATTTTTGCTTTCTCTGACATCAAGTGTAGGACAGCCCAGAGCTGCTGTGGCTGCACTGCCCAGTGACGTTGCTTTAACTGGATTATGCAGGAATTTGATGTCCACCTCTGCCCTGTACTTTCAGAAGTTCGTGGTCAGTCCAGTCCAAGTCACATCCATGCTCTCCCCATGCCATTCCCGGTTTCTGTCCTCGAGAAGCTTGGAGGATTGCTCAGTGGTGGTAGAGCAGAGTTCAAAAGTCTCCAGGAGCTCCCAACAGCTATTATTAATCAATCCTCCTCTGCAATTATCCAGCATCAGCTCCGGAATGAAGCCAACCTCACGGGTGAGGAACACAGACCACCACTCCAGCTGTGAGTGACAACCATCCCTCTCAAATAAAAAGGCATCAGGGAGCTGAATGGAGTCCTCAATATTAAGTTTATTACGAAGCATTTAAGGTCAGCTTTTGTTCTACTTGACACTAAAGTCATTCCAAGTTATTTGACCGGGTCAGAGGCTGCAGCAAGGAAGAACCAGCCAAACTTGTACCAAGCCAAGACCTACAAGAAAGGAAAACACAAACACCTATGCCCAGGGAAGCAGGGACTGCAGCTTTATTTAGTCACTTGTCATCCACTCCTGGGCAAAGAACAGAAGCATCCAATTACCAGGACAGTCCACACATTTAAATGCCGAACATCCTTTCAGTTTTGCTGTCTTGCCACTTTGAACATGCCCCACTTAAAAGGAAACCCAAAAACTGTGCATAAAAATTCCAAATGGGCTTCATAGGCCAGAAAGTTACTCAGTTTCTTTACATCAATCCCAACCTCTGGTAGGAGGTGGTGACTCCAAACCAGGAAGTGAAACGGAAAACTCTATTTATAACACACTCCATGCACAATGATTCACTTTAGGAATAAAGGTAAATAAATCCTCTCGTGCTGTCCCAAGGTTCAGGTCTGAACCAGGGGTTAGGCATTATTCATGTTGTGCTTGAAGAACAAGATGATCAGCACATTACAGAGGATCAAAGTGTAACGTGGGAAAACCCTCCACACTGGTCAGGCTCTGCCACTTCCTACTGGCAAGGACAAGTGACAAAACCCATCCCCACCTCATTCAAGACCTTTCCTAACAGAGCTTTCGACCTGCAACACAGCAAACACGAATCCCATGTTCACACAGACAGGACTCCAGCATCTCAAGAGCCCAGGAGGGCTCAAAAGGCAGTGTTCAATGTCCATCCTTTCCCTGGCCATACACTCAGAAATCCTGACCCCATTAAATGAGGCCGGGAAGGCAGGAACCACATTTAGCTGCAAACATGGTATGGAACAGACAGGCACCTCTGGCAGCAGCAGAAAGCAATGGTTAAGGACCAAGAATATGTGGGCAGCCCAGGTGGAGTACCAGTTTATCTTGGTAATGAGCTCCAGCCTTTCTTCTTCCATAAAGCCCCGCTGCCCAAAGCCTAACATTATGAAAAACCCAGGGACCATGTCCCTGCATGAAGGGAAGATTAAGGAAGAAAGAAGAATGACAAGGAAACTATGAACAACAAGAGGGACCCTCTCTAGCTCTTGACAGATAATTAACTCTTTTTGTGCTTAATTAAACACCTCCAGACAGAGAGCCCATTTCCTGACACATTTCCTTGATGGCTCTAGTGAAGACTTAGGTTTGGAGTTGCACAGCTCAGCTTGAAATCAACAGGTCTTGGCATTGTACGATCACACAGAAGTCATGCAGGATCTGAGGAGGAGGTTGCTCTGCTTCCTACCAGCCACTTCAGGAAGGAGAGTTAGTTATTTTCCAGAATGCCAAAGGTAGAAGAACATGAAGCATTCAGGGGTGTGGAGCTGGGCACAGGTCCCACACCCCTGTCTTCAGGACGTGCCCCTCTGTGTCACTTGACAGAACTGTGGCAAAGCTGACCATTCTCAGCACACAAACAACAAGCAGCATCTTTGTTGGTCCCCAAAGGCCACTTCAGGAAGAAATTCTGTACTGTAAAGGTAGGGAGGCACTGCAACAGAGAGACTGTGGACTTTCCATCCCTGGAAATGTTCAAAACCAGGTTGGACAGGGCTCTGGTCTAGTGGAAGGTGTCCCCACCCATGGCAGGGTGGAACAAGACAAGCCTTAAGGTCCCTCCCAGCCCAAATCATTATCCGAATATCAAAGAATCACAGAAGCACCATCACATCGGCTGGAGAAGCCTCACAGATCCCCTAAACCTCTTCCAGTTGTCAGTAGGAGAGAACAAGGCTCCACCAGAAGCTTTAAGCCCCACTAGATGTTTTCCCCACTACTTTTCAAAGCAAGGAGCTTTGAAAGATGAGAAGCTTATTTCAGTTTCAGAGTAAAAACTAATGGTTCTGAAGGCAGCGTGTGAAGAGCTGATATTTGCTACCTAGAGGACACAACCAGGTCTTTCATCTCCTCTGGGGGCCAGAAAATATGTGCCAGCCTGAACTGAGAGATGCAACTTTCATGGCACAGTGCTTCAAAGTTGGGGTATAGCACAGACACCTCTGGGCTCCCCAAGGAGGACTTTGCTTCTGCCACAGCAGGAAAGGTGACTCCACAAATCCACTCCTCCTCAGTTCTCTCAGGAAGCTGGTACACAGTTTTTGGACCTTTTGTACTTCAGTTCATTATTATTTTATTACCAGTTAGCAGTACAAAACTCTGGGTAACACTTCAAATGAGCTCCTCATCTTCAGGCTTGAGGTGTTTATATTCTTCTCAAATTACAGGAAGAGAACAATACTACAATTCCAATCTAATAGACTATCCCTACTCCGAAGCGTTCACACCACTCAGCATGGCAAAAAAGGTACAATGGCTCCCAACAGCATTAGATGATGGAACAAAACCTCAACAGTGAACACGATGCTCCAGGACTCACATCAAGCTTGGACAATGAGAATTTGGCTTAGCAGTGCACAGGATGTGTAATTCTCCAGAAACAAGGGACTGTTGAAAAGCAACCCACCAGTCCTGGATCAAAGGATGTTTAGGTGAGCAGACCCTCAACTAAAGCATTCCACACCCAATATGGAAAAAGATAACGTCTCTGTACACCATTTCTGGTGTGTGGGAAAGCCCATACAGGACACCACAACTGTGCCAGACAGCTTCAGCATAAACCTTTAATCATAGAAGCTGAAGTTGTGTCAGGGGAGGTTTAGGTTGGATATCAGGAAAAGGTTCTTCCCCCAGAGGATGATCGGGCACTGAACAGGCTCCCCAGGGCAGTAGTCACAGCCCCAAGGCTGACAGAGCTCAAGGAGCACTTGGACAACACCCTCAGTGACATGGTGGGATTATTGGGGTGTCCTGTGCAGGGACAGGAGTTGCACTTGATGATCAGTCACGTTCTCCAAGAGCCAAAGCGGTGAACCAAACAATACAGCCCAGCCAGCTTCCCCTCCAGTTTGGAACAGTGGCTGTACACAGATGTTGGGGAAGGAAAGGAAGAAAGCAAAAGACTGAACTTCTCCGTGCATTTTCCAGCCTCCAGTGGTTTGTATTTCTAGGCCTTCCCAAGTCAGTTTGGGCTTCTGAGTGTTCTGGGTGTGATTGTTCGAGTTGCCCTGTGAGGGGCCAGGAGCTGGACTCTGTTGATCCTTGTGGGTCCTTGCCAACTCTGGATATTCTATGAAGGACACTCAGTGCTGCCAGTTCTTCTCCAGATAGATAGAAACTTTTTGTAGCCACAATAGCCCTTGGTTGCCTGAACAACAACATCTGAACCCGCCTCCTGTTAGCTCCACCTGATCCCCTCCGAATCTCAGGGCAGCAGAAGTGGACTGCCCTCCCACATCCACCACTGATGATTTCGTGACCTGACCCACGCCACTGCTGACCCTTTAATATCAGCTGGATGTAAATAACCATTTCTTGGCAGAAGGGAAAGAGTGAGACGTGAACTTCAATGGCACAGACTAAATAAGCAGCATTGTCCTAGGAATAAATCAGCAGCGTTATCTGCCAATTATCAATAGATATCAAAACCAGCAGAGCAGTAGTAAAGCAGAAAGGACCCTGACGACACATTAAGGTTGTCTGCCCTC